CCCCGCTCAAAGTGACTGACAAGTAGTAAGTAATATTTTACTTACCGTTGGTTTGGTTTGGTGAAAGATGCATGGATGTAATTTGATGATTAGATGGATTGGTGTTTAAGTTTTTAACTGTGTTTATTTTTCTCAACCCAAAGTATGATGGATTATGGAACTTATTATCATTGCAATTCACAAACTTTTAAAAGACTCATTGATTGATAGTGTTCAGATCAACAGTACAAGTTGGATGGAATGACGATTTTGACAACCAAAATGAATTTATTGAATACCAGTAGTTTTGTGTAGAAAACTGCATAAATATGAAATAATCATCTCAATTTTTATTTTTATTTTTATTTTTTTGAAACGATAGATTTTATTAAAAAAGAAAAAAAAACATGTATTTACATTTAGACAACAGCCAGAAAAATCAGCCTCTATGCTGAATTTAGTAGGAGGTCTACACTAAGATCCGACTACACTAAAGCACACACAATATATCAAACTATACAATTCCACAAGTGGGAAATCAAAGCTTCTAAAAAGAAAGAATAAAACAACAAACTACTCTAAATACAAACACGAATACTGGACACTAGCAATACTAGAATAACACACTCCCCACCAGCCGACAAAACAATGCGCAACAACACCTCAAAACCAACATCTGTAGACTACCATCCACACGGACGGAATTCGACCCAAGTCACAAAACTAAAAACTCCAGTACACCTATGACTAGTTATCCTGACTAAACACACTCAATTCCTCCCCCGTACGGACCACCTCCAGACCCGCAACTAGAGGACTGCACCACCCCCCATCCCCCACACCCACCGACAACCACGGGCCAAACTGGCCAGAGCCGCAACTCACACCCATTGGCCGAATCGCGACTGCCCAGCACCAGGGGAGAACGGAGAACGGAAACAGGGGAGAGGAGACACTAACCTCAGCACTATCCCATGAACGGAAACAGGGGAGAGGAGACACTAACCTCAGCACTATCCCATGAAGACGGCCAGAGCCATCCGCTCGACCACTTCGCGGAACACGTCGAAAACCCGCTCTAAAGCACCTGACATAGACGATCGAAGCAACACGGTAAACTCTACACAGGGGAGGGGATGGTAGTGCCTTAAGGGACGAGCCGCTCAGCCCGGAGACGGTCAGCGCCGTGGCGGCGCGGATGGCCCGACTGAGAGGAGGTGGCCGGAGAATTTCAGAGGCGAAGGTTTACTATGCAAAAAGGGTAAAGAGGAAAAGATAAATCGTATCCGGGTATCTTGCATATTTTTTTCACTAATACTTTTTTGGAGAAGTATTAATTTTTTTCAATGTTTTGAAAGATCAACTTTGATCTATCTAATTCATTTCTAAGAGATAAGACTCAATAGAAAAAAAAATTTATTTTTGAAGGAAAATGAGACATGCAGAAATTTTTAGATCAATGCCCGAATACTGACCTAGGCTGGTCTCTGGTGATTATATTCTCGGTCCAACAGTTGAGTCACCCAGTTAATATCCAATTCAAATAATTAATTTTAAATATACACATATATACGTATGTATATACTTTTTTCCTTGTAGAAGTACATAAAAATAACAACAAAAAATCCATTTACATGCTAATTTTATAGCTCAGAATCATAACACCTTATACATGATCATAAATACTTGGCACAATTAACAGGGGCGGAGCCATGTGTTCACTTAACAGGGCTGCAGCCCAGGTAACATTTTACAGAGCCAATTATTTACATTCCAAATGATTTGTTTTTTATGCATAAGCCAGTATCTTAAATATTTAGGAATATAAAATGAATACGCATTCAATCTCATTTCATAAATCATGTTTGAACTTATCAGTTTAAATTAATATTAGCTCTAACGCAGCGCCAACATATTATATACAGATGTTTATTGAAGGTTTTATATTTAAAAATGTAAAATAAAATAGAAGTTTTTATTTAGATTATCATATAAACTTTAATTTTTTTTTACAAAAAAAATTTAATTTCATTAGATGTAAGATTTGTTGGTTCTATATTATAATAATATCTCCAACTTATTTCATGCATTAGGCATGATATATAAATTTAGTTAATAATAATATATTAATCTAAAAAAGATAAAGTTATTTATTATAGGGGAATGCTACGGTCCCGTTACAGAACCATTTCCGTCGGGGTTTTTAACCGTTAGATCACTATGAAATCGACGGTGATAGTTATCTAACGATTATAAATCATACGGAATGATTCCGTAATAGGACCGTATAATCTCCCTTTATTGTAGTTACTATTACTTTTATAAAAAAAAAAAAAGATTAATTTGAGACTCCCAAGCACACTAATTTCCTATAGTCTAAATCGAACTAAAAAATGGAAAGCTTGTTATTCAACAGTATAACAGAAAACGTAAAGACTACCATTAAAGCAGCCCAAGCTATATGTTGTTCTTTTTTTTTTTTTTACAAGGAAGGAGGCTAAAACGATTAAAAGCCCGGGTAGGATTTAAATCCTAGCTCCGCCCCTGGGCACAAATAAATACACATAATTTTTAAATTTTGAGAATCATATATCTAAAAAATTTACTTAATAAATAAATAAATTTGACGGGTCAGATTAACGTAATTGGGTCAACGACCAAATTGATCAAGTTATGGTTGGGTTGACCGTATTTTGACCTGGTTATTACGTGCTCGGCCAGTGTGATTGCAAACCGGTCCAAATAACCAACCCGGATAAGGTGTAGCTCCAGGTCATAACGTACCACTGGGCCAACCCGTGTTAACAAACATTGCATACAAAAATCAGATGAAGTCAAATTACACTACATAGAGGAAAGTGTGGTCTAATGTGCAAAGCAGGGCAAAGTAGACTCAGACCTGTGTATAGTAAATAATAGTACTTGATAAAACAGCTAGAAACAAACTTCAAATG